AAATTGGTTAAAAGTAAAAGAATTGAAAAAGATACACTCCATGTCAGCATCAATCAATTGAAAACTAGAATGGCTATAGTAATATCAAAGTACATTTCAGAGAAAAAAAAAAATTACAGATGAAAAGGATAATTTCATAATGAGAAAGAGATCAGTTATAAGAGGACATAAGAATAATAAATATTTATGGATTAAATATGAGACCGTGAAGATGCTTAAAGTAAAAGTTGAGAAACTGGAAGGAGGAATGCGTTAAGTCTACAGTTCTCATTGGAGATTTCAATACTCCTTTCTCAGTAATTGATAAAATAAAAGCCTTAAGAATCTATAAAATGTGACCAACTGTATCAACCACTTTGACCTGAATGACATTTATTGTGCACCACATCCACATCCTGACATGCCGCTGTGAGATTAGCAATGCACTTTAAACCACAGGGTTAGTAGTTCAAACCCACCACTTGCTTCACAGAAACCCTTTATAGGGTTGGGTTGCTGTGAGTCAGAAGCAACTCAACAGCACATAACAACACCACGCAACAACAGCAGACTACACAAGCAAGAAAACTAAATTAAAAGACCATCAGATTGGAAAGGAAGAAGTCAAACTAACTGTCTTTATTCATAGATTATCTATGTAGACTATCGATTGTAACCTGCAGTTTTTGTTCTTGCTGTTAGATGCTGTTAAGTCAGTTCCAACTCAGCCACCTTGTGTACAACAAAACAAAGCACTACCTAGTCCTCTGCCATATTCACAATTGTTCTTATACTTGATCCCATTACTTATGCCACAGTGCCAATCCATCCCCTTGTGGGTCTTCCTCTTTTTTGTTGACTTTCCACTTTAGTAAACACGATATCCTTCTTCAGAGACTGGTCCCTCCTGATAACATATCTGAAGTATGAGAGACAAAGTCTCACCATCCTGGCTTCCAAGAAGCATTTTGGCTATACTTCTTCCAAATGAGATTGATTTGTTCTTTTAGTAGTCCATGATGGTGTTTTTAATATTCTCCTTCAACACCATAACTCAAATGCATCAATTACTCTACAGTCTTCCTTATTTTCATTATCCAACTTTCGCATATGAGGTTATTGAAAATACTGTGGCTTGGGTCAAGCGCACCTTAGTCCTCAAACTGACATCTATCTTTGCTCTTAAGTGCTTTAAGGAAGTCTTGTGCGGCAGATTTACCTAATGCAGTATGTCATTTGATTTCTTAACTGTTGCTTCCATGAATGTTGATGGTTGATTCAAGCAAAATGAAATCTCTGAGAATTTCAATCTTTTCTCTATTTATCTTGATGATATTGATTGACCCGATGGTAAGGATTTTTGTCTTCTTTACATTGAGGTGCAACCCATACTAAAGGCATTGGTCTTTGATCTTCATCAGTAAGTATTTTAAGTCCTCTTCACTTTCAGTGAGCAAGGTGTGTCAACTGCATATCCTACCCTAATGATGTGTTTTCTCCATGTTATCTGGCGTCTCAGATTATTTGCTCAGCATACAGATTGAATAAATACAGTGGGGAAGGATTGCAACCCTGGCATACACCTTTCCTAATTTTAAATCATTTGGTGTTCCTTGTTCTGTTCGAATAACTGCCTTTTGGTCTATGTATAGGTTCCTCATGAGCACAATTAAGTGTTCCAGATACTCATTCTCCACAATGTTGTCCATGCTTGTCATGATCCACACAATAGAAAGCCTTTGCATAGTCAATAAAGCATAGGTAAACATCTTTCTGGTATTATCTGCTTTTAGCCACGATCCACTGACGTCAGCAGTGATAGCCCTTGTTCCATGTCCTCTTCTGTATACAGCTTGAACCTCCAAAAGTTCAATGTCAGTGCATGGTTGAAGTTGTTTTTGTTATCTTTAGCAAAATTTTATTTGTACACTGTAATTGACATTGTTTGATGATTTCCACATTCTGTTGGATCATCTTCTTTGGAATGGGTACAAACATGGATCTCTTCCTGTCTGTTCGTCAGGCAATTGTCTTCCAAATTTCTTGGCATAGATGAGTGAGTGCCTCCAGTGACGCATCAGTTTGTTGAAAGATTTCAATTTGTTTTCCACCGATTCCCATTGCCCTGTTCTTTGCCAGTGCTGTCAGTGCACCTTGAACTTCTTTCTGGAGCATCATTGAGCATCATTGATCATATGCTACCTCTTGAAATGGTTAAACATCAACTATTTCTTTTTGGTATAGTGACTGTGTATTTCTTCCATCTTCTTTTGATGCTTTCTGTATCATTCAATATTTTGCCCATAGAATTCTAGAACACTTAATTGTGCTCATGAAGAACTTGTACATAGACCAAGGGGCAGTTGTTCAAACAAAACAAGGGAAACACCAAATGGTTTAAAATCAGGAAAGGTGTGTGACAGGGTTGCGTTCTTTCACCACAGTTCCTCAATCTGTATGCTGAGCAAACAACCCTAAAAGCTGGGCTATATATAAAGAAAAATATGGCATCAAGATTGGAGGAAGACTTATTAACAACCTGTGATATGCAGATGACACACCCTTGCTTACTGAAAGCACATAGGTCTTGAAATATTTACTGATGAAGACCAGATCCACAGCTTTCGGTATGGGTTGCACCTCAATGTAAAGAAAAAAAAAAAATCCCTTGCATTGGTTAAATAATTAATATTCATATAAATGGAGAAAAAACTTGAATTTGTCAAAGATTCCATTTTGCTCAGCTCCTTTGGCAATCCTTTTCTGTAGGAATTGGCCAACTGATTATAAAATTCATTAAAAATGCAAAAGACCTAGAACTGGAAAAAAAAAAAAAAAAACCTTCAAGAATCAGCATTATTCATAATAGTCTCACATTGGAAGCAACCCCAATTTTTTCATAATTTTTTTCATAAATCCATATAGTGGGATTGTTGTAGTTAGGTGTCCTCAAATGGGTCCTGACTCACAGCAACTTTGTGCACAATAGAGCGAAACAATGCCAAGTCCTGAGCTATCCTCACAGTTGTATACAATGGAATACTACTAAGCATTATAAAGGAACCAACTGTATGGAACACCATAGGCGAATCTCAAATGTGAATGGAGCCAGACTCATAAGGCTACTTATGATTCCATTTATATGACATTCTGGAAAAGGCAAATCTGTGGAATGGAAACCAGATCAATGATCGCCAGATGAAGGAGCTAACTTAGAGCTTCTTGAGGGAACTTCTGAGGGTGGTGGAATAGTTAGTTCTATATACTTGACAGGGTCATTATGTAACTTTATCATTTACCAAAACTTCTAGCACTCTAAGAAGAGTGTAGGGTATGTATAGTATATGTGAAGTAAAAAGTAAAAGTAGCCATTAGGTGCCTGATGATTGTTTAGAGAAAACTGAAAATATTGGTTAAAGAAATATCATGCAAAGTATCTGGGGGGAAAAAAGACAGGACTTTGGTTGAGATGGTGGGTGAGTGAGTAGGTGGGTTTAAATGAAGTATTGGCAGTGTGAAAGATCAAATTTTAGGAAGTTATGAAACAAGATTAAAAAAACGCTAATTGACGACAAACTTCTTTGGAATATTAAATATAAAAGCAGATATGAGATTAAGAATGGTAGTAATGGTAATGAAATAGAAGCAGAAAGGACTGCTTATTTAGAAATTAGTTCTTGAAAGGAGATTAATCGAATAGGATGTAGAGGTTGGTTGGCTGACGGAGAAAATCACTTGTCTTAGGTTATCCCAGTCTTTTGCAATTTGAAGTGATGGATTGAATCCTTAATCTTCTCCCTTTTATTCCTTAGTATTGAAACCAGATCTAGATAGAAAAATGGCATTGGATAACGCTTATGTTATAGACTCTTTTTCAAACAGATCTGACTTAGAGGATCACCTGGCCTTCTCTTTCTTTTTCCTACTCTAACCTTCTTTCCAGCACCTGTACTTTTATATTTTACATATTAGGCTTTTTAGTGTAATGTTTCCATCGGAGCAAGTAGTAAGTGTGTTTCCATAAAAAGTTTGAATGTACTGCTGACTAGAAAAGTCTTCACCATCTTTAAAGGCAGAGGAGGAGATAGTTGTGATTGTTTGGGATATAAAGAGTACGAGGATGAGTATAATAAATGTGCATTAGTACATTGTTTTAAAAATAGCTACTGGAAGGAGAGCTATACCTCAAAGATATCAGTGACGTTATAACATGACATTGTTCCTGCTAATCAGGAAGCGCAGGACTTAGATAGAGATTAGGATTCAACTCCAACCAAATAATAACGTAAAGGGAACGCCATCCATTTTTCATAGAAAGTACCTGATTGGTTTAAGAGAATGTTTACATTTTCAGATCAGTATTACATAACTTTAAGAATTTGTCATTAAAAACTCTAAATTTAATAATAAATTTTTATTTTATTATATGTTACATGCTATAAAAATTGACTTTACTATTTTTAAATCACGTTTAGAGGAAATTTTGAAACAGTGTGTCAGACATGAAAATAATTTCAAGTGTCATTTCATTTACAGGTCTGCATTACATTTACTGAATTTGGAAAAATGCAAAATATTTGTAACTTTCTTGTTGAAAAACTAGATAGTTCTGTTGTCATCAGTCCACCCCAGTTCTATCATACACCAGGTTCTGTTGAGAATCTTCGGTAAGTTAAGCACATCTTTAACTAAATTATCAATTCCTCAAATAAAACTATTCAGTGCTATAGCTCATATCTGTCATATTAATCATCTCTGCATTTAATTCCTAAGACGGAAAGCCTGTCTTGTTGCTGTTGAGAATGCATGGCGTAAAGCTCAAGAAGTCTGTAACCTTGTTGGCCAAACCATAGGAAAACCTTTATTAATTAAAGAAGAAGCAGCAAAAGAATGGGAAGGCCAAACAGATGATCACCAGTCGTCAAGACTCTCAAGCTCATTAACTGTACAACAGAAAATCAAAAGTGCAACACTACATGCTGCTTCTAAAGTATTTGTAACTTTTGAGGTAAAGGGGAAAGAGAAGAAAAAAAAGAATCTCTGAAATTCCAACCAAAATATATTTTTGTTGTTTTTTTCTTATCTATTTTATATATTTTATAATGTTCACTTTTATCTGGAGCATATATATATATAGTGCATAGCATATTAAATGCTTCTTTAAAACATCTGTCTAATATTTCTGTTTATTTTCTGTTTCTATTTTCAAAAGCTTACTTTGGGAAATTTTTTAATTTAGGAAATATGTAATTTGTACATTTATATACTAAAAATTCACACATGTGCATGTTTAAGTAACATGATTCTTAACAAAGATTAACCTAAATTTTATCATCCATGTTTTTATAATGAAAAATCCTAAACTTTTCATTATAAAAAAAAAAATTACTTATAAAAACTAGGTTTCAGCAAATTAGCTTAATTTTAAACATTATAAACCATATTTTTTACGTATCAAAGGATATTTTGATGCTCTGCCAAACGTAATCATTTTATACAACTGATGAACATAGATACAGATTTAAAGTACATTGTGTCCGGTATGAAATTTGAGTTTACCTAACTTAATGAACTCCTCAGTTAGCCTCTTTCATGGATGCTAGCAGGGTACATAAGCCTCCTGGATAAGAGACAAAGACCTGTCTTACTAATGGCACAGCAAGCTGTATGAGCATCAGTGTATCCCGTCAGCTTCCCCTGTCCCCAAATCCCATGGGTGAACATGGTAATGCCTTATGTGTTTGGGTACATAGGCAGTGGGTTTTCATCCTACTCAAGGAATACTGAGCTTAGGGAATTCATTGCTTTTATCATGAGCAGAAGCAAACTGTTCTTTGTTCTAGAGGGAACATTACATCAGCCCTCAGGGATGTTTTGGAGTCCTGGTATGGCACTGTGGGTTTATGTACTAGGCTACAAGGTCAATTTGAACCGTAGTAAGTGATTCAAGCTCACCAGCCACTCCTGGGAAAGCCTATCCAGGGTCACTGGACGACACTTAACCAACAACAACAAGGATGCTTACTGCAAACAAAACCTTGAGAAATGACCTGAATGAAGAGTAAGTAGTCTCAGAGCCTTGCTTTCTACACACATAGTAAGACATGTGTAAGGGGATGACACTCATAGTGGGTGGACTGTCTTTCCTAATACATCTAGTATTTCTTTCACTACATCCAAAGACCACTAAGATGTAAACCAACTGCCTCATCATCTGTAATAACTTTTTAATAGTAACAGCAAGAATGGTGAGCTTTGCACAGCTTTTGATAAAGAGAAATCCCAGGAAAAAACACATATGGCAGAAAGAAAAGACACGGGACCAGCCTTGTCTTCACCAGGGCTCCGTAGATTACACTAACAAAGTCCAGTACAAATATAACACATAGTTAACCCAGTATATATGTGATGTCACTTTCAGCATGTAATCAATATTTTAAAAATCATTACCGAGATATTTTATAGTTTTTGTACTGAATCTTTAAAAGCTAGTATATAATGGATAGCATATCTCTGTTCAAATGTAAAATTTAATTGAAAACAGTCTATGTTTAAATTTTTATTTTATACACTTGAAAATAGATTCACATATTCAGATTGTTTCAGACATGTTTAAAAGATTTGTAGTAACTGGATCAATTATCAGTTTTCAAATTTAAATAACTGAATCTAATTTAAAATTCAGTTCTTCACTTGCACAGCTACATTTCAAGTGCACAGTAGTCATACAGAGTTAGTGACTATTATATTGGACAGACAGGTTTTACAATGAGATAATACTGCTCTTTAAAGCTGAGATTTTAACAGCAAGCACCCATCATTGTTTTCTCATTACCTTTTAACTCAAAGGTCAACAACAGCATCATTTGTAATAGTAGGTTTTCTGTTCCTCACCATACAGTTTGTTCTTAGAGGTTTTTCTTTGCTACGTCTTGATATTCACATACCAACATTTTCTCTCCTACAACATGGGGATGTAGTTTCCATCCCCAACTACTTTTTCAAGTGATATTGAAACACTTTATCCATCTCTGTTGGAATGTCATTAAGGGAGCAAAGAGAATAATTTGGTTCAAATCCTGATTTGACTACAAAAATGAAAGTTCTTTGAAAACAGGGATCTTGTGGTTTTTATTCACAGCAGTATTCCCAGCACAGTGTCAGGGTCAACACAAAGTAGGCCCACTTAATAATTTACTGAGCAAATTTATAAGTTGTATAAACGTGGACTCCTGGTATGGCACTATAGGATCAGCACTGGACTTTGAACCAAAAGGTTCAAACCCACCAGCTGCTTCTCAGAAACCTTGTATAAGGGTCCCTATGAGTTGGAACCAGCTTGACAGCACTTAACTACAGCAATAAACATGACAAGGCACTTCATTGCTTTAAGATTGTTTTGTCACTGATAAAATGAGGCTAATAATAACTATCTTGCAGTGTTATTATAAGGATTGAAGCTATAAGGCCATGAGAACATCACTCAATATATTGTGGTGACTTAGTAAATGGTAGCCACTATATCCACTACATCATTTGATTATCATCAACCAAATTATTGGAGTCCTGGTGTGGCGCTGTGGGTTAATGCGCCAGATTTCAAAGCAATTTGAACTGTAAGGTCGATGGTTCAAGCTTACCAACTGCTCCTTGGAAACCCTATACAGGGTTGCTTTGGGTCGGAACCAACTTGATGGCTCTTAACAACAGCAACAACAAAGGTAGTTTTTTTTTTCCAAATTCTCCATTGAGAGTTTATAGTAAAAATTTTCAGAAACAAAAGTATAAGGTATATTGAATTTTTCCATACACCCCCCAAAACTCAAATTCTATTTTAAATCAAAACCAAACAACATTGCTGCTGAGTAGGTTCCAATGCATAGCACCCTAAAGGTAGGATTGAGTAGAATTGCCCTATAGGGTTTCCAAGGCTATAATCTTTACAAAAGCAGTCTGCTACATCCTCTCCCATGGAACAGCCACCAAATCTGGTGGTGGTGGTTAGGTGCTGTCAAGTTGATAGCAGCCCCATGTGCAACAGTCCTGTTACTGCCCAGTCCTGCTCACCACTGTTGATATGTTTGAGTCTATTCTTGTAGTCACTGCGTCACCCCATCTTGTTGATCTCTTCTTTCCTGACCTGTTTTACCAAACTTGATGTCTTTCTCCTGGGACTGGTTGCTCCTGTTAACATGTCCAGGGTACATGAGACACAAATTCTTGCCAGCCTCTCTTCTAAAAAGCATTCTGCTTATAATTTTTCCAAGACAGATTTGTTCATAATTCAAAGTATCAATTCTTCAGTCTTCCCTTATTCATTGTTCAGCTTTTGCATGCCTATAAAGCAATTGAAAATACCATGTTTTAGACTGAGTGTACCTTAGTCTTCAAGGTGAAACTTTGCTTTTTCACACTTTAAAAAGGTCTTTTGCAACTGATTTGCCAAGTACAATACATTTGATTTCTTGACTGCTGTTTCTGTGGGTATTGATCATAGGTCCAAGTAAAATTAAATCCTTGACAACTTCAGTTGTAAGAATTTTTGTTTTATGATGAAGTGTAATCCATATTGAATGCTGTAGTCTTTGATATATATACTTCAGTAAGTCCTTCAAGTCCTCTTCACCTTCAGCAAGCAAGGTTATAGTCTGTCGCTAATTATTAATGAGTCTTCCTCCAATCTCAGTGCCATATCCTTTTGAATATAGTCCAGCTTTTTGGATTATTTCCTCAGCCTACTGATACAATAAGTATGGTGAAAGGGTACAACCTTGATGCACACCTTTCCTAATTTTAAACCACGCAGTATCTTCTTATTCTCTTCAATCAACTTCCTCTTAGTCTGTGTACAGGTTCTGCCTAAGTATAAGTTAAGTGTTCTGGAATTCTGCTTCTTTCAACGTTATATGTAATTCACTGTGATCCACATATTTGAATGCCTTTTTGTAGTCAGTGAAACCACAAATAGACATCTCCCTGATATTCTATCCTCTCAGCCAAATTCCATCTGACATATAACTTGTTTTGTGTCCTCTTGTGAATCTGCCTTGAATTTCTGGCAGTTCCCTGTCTATATGCATCTGCAACCATTTTTTAATGATGCTCATAATTCTTGCATATGATATTATTGACATTATTTGATAATTTCCTCATTTCTTTTGAATCATGAAATGAGCTTGAATATTGATCACTTCTAGTAAGTTGAGAGTAACTTGACCAGGTAGTTGCCTTTCAAATTTCTTGACACATCTTAATTGATACTCTGTCATTTCCTGGAAACCTGTTTTTAGTGCATAAAAACCAATGCTTTTAATTCATCGGGTTTTACTTTTTATTTTCCTGTTAGGTAGGAAAACAGAGTTGGGCTAGTACATCAAAAAGAAATCACAAGAAATATTATGTGGTTAGAGAGTTCTCTTAGCCTGGTTTCATGGTATATTTGCTCCCATCATAGTTGGTAAAGCAGGCTTTCAACTTAGCATGAAATATCTGGAAATAGAATTTCCAAGTTAGCAAACAAATAATTTACAGGATTTTTCAAAGTTTGTGCTTCAAAATATTCTGCAAAATCTGTAGTCTACACTATCTGAGCAGCTAAGGGAAGAAAATCCTTCAACAGTTTGACTGGTTTATGCATGACATCTGGTGTATTTAAAAGGAAAATGTCTATTTTAATTGTGAATTTGTAACAATATAACTTTTGATCCAAAATTCTGGAGCTCACAATAAATTACTTAGGGAAGTTGTTCCACACTTTCTGCCTATAAAAATGTATCCTAAATCCTTAATCCTGACAGCATTTCTTTTTATGAATCTTCTATATTTTAAATAAAATCTTTCCAGAAAGCAACAAAAGTACATTTGTGGATATCTAAAATGGATAAAGAAAAATCTAATTTCCACACACATTAAATCTCACAAGCTCCTTTTTATAAGACATTGCTATTAAAATAGGTTTCTCTGTGGTACTGACATATTTAGGATTCATTTTTTAAAGTTATAAGGATTATATTTTAGACAAAAGTAATACTAAAAATCTTTTGTCCGTATTTTTATTTAATTTTATTTAAATGTAAATAAGATGTGGAAAAATAGTTTGTAACAAAATATTGTACTT